GAGGAAGAGGAATCATAGTAGTTCTAAAAAGAATAATGCGAATACTATTACTAATAATCACATGAAGACGAATCATAATAATACTAACAGGAAGCACAGTAATAACCATACTACTGATACTAATAATAAGAATAATAATGATAAGACCAATGACATTAATAATGCGATTAATACTGATAGTAACAATGCGAATGCTACGATTATTAATTACACTAAGACTAATAATAATACTCAGCATACTAATACTACACGTGATGATAATTTGAATAAGAAGAAAACTAATGATAATAACGATAAGAGGATTATGATGATGATGATGATGATGATGATGATGATGATGATGATGATGATGATGATGATGATGATGATGATGATGATGCTGAGGAGGAGGGGCGAGAGGAGGAGGAGGAGGAGGAGGAGGAGGAGGAGGGAGGAGGAGCTGGATGGCGGAGGAGTCGCAATGGATTCGTTATCTACCAGGATGGGGTTGGGGTTGGTGTGTCGCCACCAGATAAACGGGCAGCGCTGCAACCACATGACGGTGTATACACCGTCGGGCCGCTGATGACGACGACGCTGACGTGGGCCAGAGTCCTCAGGGATGCTTCTTAGGGCCTGGTCGAAACGCTGTTGGGGGCCTCGGTGGACAGTGTACGGGTCTCTTTGGAGCCTCTTGGGGGTTTCCGGGGGCCTCTCGGCAGCATCTTGGGGTCTCTTCGGGGCTTCTTGGGGGCCTTCGGGGGCCTCCTGGTTTCTCTTGGGAGCAATCGGGGCGGAGGGCTCGAAATGTCCATTTTGGTCCGTCGTCTCGGCGCCGTCTTGGAGCCATCTTGGGGGCCTCTGGGGCCCTTATGGAATCGTCTTGGGCTGTCTTGGGATTCTCTTGGGCCGTTTTGGGTCGCTCGTGGAGCCTTCTGGGGCTGTCTGGGGGCAATCTGGGAAGCCGCTTGGGCCGTGTTGGAGCGTCGGGAAGCGGGAGAGGCGAGACCGCCGAAATCATGCAAGAACTTGAGGGGAAATCGACGATTTTTGTTCTCGAGACACTCGTGGGACTGCTCCTGGAGGCCTCTTTGAGCGTCTTGCAGGATTCTTGGGCCATCTAGAGGCCGTCCAGGCGTCTTGGACAGATCGTTCGGCGATTTCGGTGCCCTTGTGGACTGTGTTTAAGGGTTCTTGTGGCATTCGTGGCCCGTCTTGAAGTTGTTTTGCGGCCCGGGAGCCCCTGGAGGGGAAGCGTATTTGACCCAGGACTCTCCCCCGGGTCTTGACCCGGGTCGGGACCCAGGACCCCCCCCGGGTCCGGACCCGGGACCCCCCCCCTTCCAGGCGGGGGAGGGATCAAAGGGAAGGGGCTTCCCTTCGAGTGTACGACGACGTTTCTCAATTTCTCGGTTTCGGCTCCCAGGGCCGGTTTGCGGGTACTGGAACCATCAAGCATGGGGTCCAGGACGACATTTTATTCCTTGCGCGACGTCCGAGCCCGTAACAGACCTCCGGGTCTTTTCTGGAGGTCGCCGCGGCGATCGCGGCGGCCACAAATCGGGGTAAGGTTTTTGTAGAGGAGTGGCACGCCTCTTCCCCTCCCCCTGTTCTGCGATGTAGACGTGGCTCGTGATTAACTATCTAGCAGCAGGGAGCTGTCAACTTATGTCCGCCATGGGCAGTCTTGTTTTTTTGTGGTCAGGGGGCAGTCATCAAGCGATGACGCCCAAGGAAGCTGTCGGGACCTTTGGGGCAGCGGATGGAGAAAGCCATTCTGACGGACGTCTGGGAGCGTCCGCCGCGCCGAGAGGCGAGAGCGCCTTTCCCGAGTGAAAGTCGAGGTCGGTGTAGAGCGGGAGCGCTTTTTTTCCCAACCATCCTGTGGTGTTGGGTCTTCGTTTTGAAGAGACAGCGCCCCGCGTCTCCTCCTTCCTTCCTTTTTTCCTTCCTCCTTCCTCCTCCCCCTCCTCCCTCCTCCCCTTCCTCCCCCTCCTCCTTCCTCCTTGCGTTTCACCCACCCAGCACAGCGTTTCGTGGCCCCATAGGGAGCTCCACCGAAGGCCCCAGTGCCACCGCCCGCATCCGTCACCCACACCCATTCCGGCACACCCCTCACGCGTTTCGTGGCCCCATTGGGAGCTTTACCGAAGGCCCCACTGCCACCGCCCGCATGCGTCACCCACACCCGTTTCGGCACACCACTCACACGTTTCGTGGCCCCATAGGGTGCTCCACCGAAGGCCCCAGTTCCACTGCCCGCATGCGTCACCCACACTCATGTCGGCTCACCCCTCACACGCTTCGTGGCCCCATAGGGAGCTCCACCGAAGGCGCCAGTGCCACCGCCCGCATGCGTCCGTCACCCACGCCCATTCCAGCACACCCCTCACGCGTTTCGTGGCCCATGGGGAGCTCCACCGAAGGCGCCAGTGCCACCGCCCGCAAACGTCACCCACACCCATTTCGTCACATCCCTCACACGTTTCGTGGTCCCATAGGGAGGGAGCTCCACCGACGG